ATCAGGCCGCCCAGACCCCTCCATGTGGAGCCTCTGCCCAAGCACATTCTGAGCAGTTCCCAGGGCCGCGCAGCCCCCTGTGCGGAGCCTCTGCCTGAGCCGCTTCCGAGCTGCGCCCGGGACCGCACAGCTAGCTCCCTGCGGAGCCGCTGCCTGAGCCGCCTCCAAGCGGCTCCGGGGCCCCGCCGGATGCACGCTGCAGCCCTTTAGGGAGCTCGGCCGCGTTGTGTGGCGCGCTCTCCCTGGCACGCTGATGCTCTGTTAGTGTCCCAGGGAGGCTGAGGGCCTCCTGGAGCAGGATCCTCACCCCTCCTGGGATCCTGCTCCAACTCCCGGGAAGATTGGTGAAACCCCTGCTTCTCCAGGACGGGGCTTTCCTGTCCTGGGGACACTCGCTGAGGCCTTAGCCCTGGTCCTCGCAGGGCCCCCCCACTTGAATGCCTTTTGTTTCTTTCTTCCCCCGCCCCGTCTTCCTACCGTGATAAAAGCGTGAACTCTTCTCACTGTAGCATTCCAGCTGTTCTCTCTTTAAATCTCAGGCTGAATTCATAGGTTTTCAGGATGATTTGAAAGTTATTTAGGTAATTTGGTGGGGACAGGTGACTTGCGGACCCTACTCTTCCACCATCTTGCCCCCTCCTACTCTGTTTTCCGTTTAAAATGGTTTCTAGGCAACGGTTTCAGGAGGGTCAATGAGAAAGCCATCTGACATTGGCCACCTGAGCTGCATGGTGATTGGCCACCTGAACCAGGCCACCCCGAGAGCGTGTGTGATTGGCCGGGGCATGGCAGTGACATCACAGAAAAGCATTCTGATGCACCTGGGCTGATATAAAAGCATGACAACCGCGCAGGTCCCCGTGATGACAGAGATGGCACTTCAGCCACAGATCTCCCGGCTCTCCCTCAGGTTGTCTGCCCTGTTTTCTGCCCATGCCCATGGCAAGCCCCCGGACCACCCTCCTGCCCCAGTCCTCTCGCCAAGACTTTGGGCTCCACCTGCATGTTTGTACATCCATTCATCCCCCTCTGTGGTCCTGAGAGTCCACGAACCCACAGCAGGCGACTCCTGCTCCCATTTCCCACTGAGAGGTTGGCCTGGCTACTCACTGACATATTCTCATGTGGACTGTGGGAGCGGGACACCGGGAATCGGTACCATGGATACTCAGGCAGAGGGGAAATGCCTCTCCGACACCTCTGGGGTCAACCCGGGGCTCAACACAGGAAAGCTGTGAGTCCCCGTCCTGAAAGAACCCAGGACACTCACTGCTTCTCTGGAGCTCTCCAACCCAGCTCAGTACAGGGCACATGAATGCCCTAAACCTCCACTCCACCCCCATGTGTACAGTGTCTGCAGTGCCTCCAGGCACCCGGCAGAGAAGGCATTGTATGAAACAGTAAGTCCTGGGAGAAGGAGTCACCACATCACTGGATATGGTGGGGGCCATTGGAACACGGGCCCTCAGACCACGAGCTGCCTGCCCCAGCTCAGTAGTGGACAAATGGATGCTCCAGATTCCTGGCTGACCAGGCGCCCATACACCACAAACCCTCGAACACAGCAGGACATGGAGAAATTCACTTCCCAGAACAGAGCACCTACCAGGATCCCTCAGACTGGGAACCCTCTTAACCCTCGTGCCCCCGGGCATGTGAGTCACCCAGACACTGGATCCCTATCAAAATACCATGGACTTTCTTCAGAGAGTTGGAACTAATTATTTTAAGATTTGTGTGGAATCAGAAAAGACCCGAATAGCCAGGGGAATATTGAAAAAGAAAACCATAGCTGGGGGCATCACAATGCCAGATTTCCCCTGAAGTTTTTGCAAATTTAAAATGTGGGATGTCAGTGTGGAGTAGGTCATTCTGGGTGGGTGTTGGCCACTCCCTTTCCCTGTCTTTCCCCTAGGACCGTCCTTTTCCTGGCCCAGACGGTTGCTCACAGTGAGCTATAGGAGGGCCCCAGGCACCTGATAGGGTAGACATTACTTCTGCAACATCAAGAGAGGCTCAAAAGAATGTGGCTCTCCCATGGAGCATCTCTTCTGCATCTACCATTGTGTGATGGAGACAGTGGACAGTAGCCACATCTCATTTCTTTTTTTCCTCACTAATATTTCTACTCTGACTTTCGGCTCTCATCTTTTCCCTTTCATTGCTTCCTTGGAAGGCTGCACATATCCTTAAGTAGTCTCTGAATACCAGCTACTGTGTTGGAATCACACACTCCTCTGTCTGTACCCAATCTTGTATCAGTGCTCACCAGTTACCAGCAGCTATGGCCTTGTTGAAAGTCATTGGCAGGGGAGGGGTTTGGGAGCCCACCTCTCATTCCTGCACTTACCCCTCTCTTGGGTCCTTCCCTAGAACCCCAGGGCTCTCTCATCATGGGAGCATGTGAGGCTGAGCTCTGCACAGCAGGCCTTCCTCTCACTGTCTCCAGGCCCCCCTGCCCATCAGCAGGCCCATGGCCTCATCCATGGGTGTGTCTGACACACATTCCTGATGGGGCTATCTCTTCCCCCACAGAGTTAGTATGTACTTTACCAGCATTTCTTTGCTTCCAGGTTGCTGGCATGGAGCCCAGGATGAGGAGGCACCTTCAGAGCAAGGTGTTTCTGCAGGAGCGTCACTAGTCAGGACCCCAAAGCCAGGCCCATCCATCCTGGAGGCCCAGTCCGTGAGATGTGTGGCCTGTTCTTTAAAGACTTTGTGCTGGGCTGAGCATGATGGAACACACTCTGAGCAAGGCCTGTGCACTCGTGGGGCAAACCTGCAGCAGCATCAAAAGAAGCAGACTAGAGATAACTTTCCATAAAGGATGAAGGGAGCCCTTTGTTTGGACCTTGTAGCTTATATGACAGATAAGACCTTGGCATGGAGGGAGAGTAGAGAGGACTTCACAGCCTTACTACCCTGCTAGCCACTCACAGTGGGTTGAAGCCACACAGGAACACCAAGTAGAGAGGCCTTTGAAAGTGGACAGAATGATTGTAAGTGGACTTGGTATGGGAAAGCCTTCAGCCTCAAGATATACATGTAGGGTACCAGAAAGTCTACCCTGGGGAATGGCCTTAGGAGTGCAGTGAAAATGGGATGTTTTTAGGTACAACTCTAACCTCAGTAAACATTTTAGCAATCACTGTGAAGAAGGGTCTTGAAGTGTAGCCAGTGTGGGAAAATCCACACTTACTAGTCACCAGGAAGTTCATACTGTAGAAAGAGTGCAGTGAATGCAGGAAGTCTTTTACATATAACTCCAGTCTCCTTAAACAGTAGTGAGTTCACGCTGGAGAATGGCCTTCTTTGTGCAGTGAATGTGGGAAGGCCTTCATCAGAAAGTCCCACCTCCTTCAGCATCATAAAATGTGGAAACTTCTTCCCTTTTTTTCTTTTTTTTTTTTTTGAGGCTTCTTTACAGGAAAATTTGGTCTTACTGAACGCCAGAGAATACACCAGGCCAAGGTTTTATAAGGTTTTATGAATTCAGCATATAGCAAGGCCTTTGCTACTAAGTCTTGCATCATTGGTCACCAGAAAATGCACACTGGAGGACACTTTACAAGTACAGCTGATGTGGGGAAGTGTTTCAGTGCAAACCAATCTCGTTAAGCATCAGAGAATTCACACTGGGTAAAGGCATTGGGAGTGCAGGGAATGTGAGAAATTCTTGAGCCAAGACTCCCATCTCATTCAGGACCAGAGAAAGAACTTGAACTTGTGAGTAGAGCAAATGGGGAAAGATTTCTGCCAAAAGTATGTTTTAAATTAGCACTGGGGAAAAAAAGCTAATACATAGTTTTAAAAGTTGTGGTAAATTTCACATTATACCATCTTGTTTTTAGGGGTACAGTTCAGGAATGTTAAGTATGGTCACCTTGTACCATGGATATCCATAACTCTTTTCATCTTGTTAAACCTAATTCCATTACCTAACTAGCCATTTTTGCCTTCCCTGGCCTTTGCACATCATTTTCTTTATTTTCTCTATCCATTCATCTGCCCATGGACCATGAGTTGCTTCTACCTCTTTTGGCTATTTTGAATAATGCTACTATGGACATGAGTATACCAATATTTCTTTTAACACCTTACTTTCCAAAAAAGATTTCTTCAGTACCTTGCTTTCCAATTATTTTTGCATATATCCTCAAAAAGAATTGCTGAATCATATGGCAATATGGTCAGTTTTTTGAGGAACTGTTTTTCATAATATTTGCACCATTTTACAGCCTTCATCCTTTTCTGTTTTTCAGTGTTCAGAAGCCTCCTTTCCCCATGTGGTAAGTCACTCGCTCTTTTCAGATGGGGCTTAGAATCTTAGAATAGAATGGATGGAGTAGGGAATGGAATACATGGAGAAAGGGCTGGGCATAATCCCCAGGAAGATTTTACTTATATGAGAGTGAGCACCAGTTGAGGTGGGGCAAAAGGAGAGGGTCAAGCAGACTCCCCCGGATCAGGGAGCCAGAGGCAGGCCAATCCCAGGATCCTGAGATCATGACCTGAGCCAAAATCAGATGCTTCACCAACTGAGCCACCCAGGCGCCTCTCTACCTTTTTTCTAACAGAAAAACTACAGAATCAATGGATTCCGCTCTAACATGTACTTGAAAAGCAGTAAGAGTATTTTAGGTCTCAGCTGTGGGTGGATGCACTTTGTGTCTGAGTGACCGTTTGTAGTTTTGGGGAATGTCTGAAAACGTGTCTGTTTTGTGATCAGCACAGGCTACGTTCCACTGAAATCTGGGTGTGGCCCTTCCAAGAAGCCAGAGCCCCGCCCCGCTCCGCCCTCAAAACCTGCGGAGATCCTGATCCAGCCCCTTTCTTGGTGTGGCTAGAAAACACCCGGGGATCAGGAAGAAGGGAGACCTGTAGGGGTTCCGTTGCTCCGTCAGAACTACACTACCCGGAAGGCAGTGCGCCGTGCGTCCCCTCCACTGAACCAATGAGGGCTCGACGAGAGGCACTTCCGCCCGATGGACAGCGTCGGGGCGAGCTTTCCGGCGTGGGCCTCCAGCGACATCTTGTAAACTTCGTCCTGTCTCCGGTCGGGATCCTTGGCTCGCCTGAGGTGAGGGCTCAGGATGCGCTGCGGCGGCTCCGCTGAGATTCGGCGTAGCTGTCGCCGGGACTGAAGGCTACGCTGCCACGGTGTCCCTCCCTCCGCACCCGGCCACAGCTGCCGTGGCGATTCCCATTCAGGTAAGCGCTGCGTTTCTCTGGGCCAGCACCCAACTCTTCATCCTGCATTAGAATTTCGTGTTTTTGTCCTCAGGAGGGTCCTGTTTACTTTGGTCTTCCAAATTTTGAAATAAGACTTGCCTGAAGAGACTTGCACAGAAAGTACGTGTGCAGTTGAATAACCAACTGTAAAATTAGTACCTGTAATTATTGCTGTTAACCTTAGAAATAAAACGGGCAGTTTTTTTTTACCACCCAAAATGGGTTTATTTGGGTTTAACTCGGGAATACAAGAGTATTGCATCCAGGCAAGTCTGGAAAGGGCTGCTCTGAACAAAGCTCTTTGGGCAAAGTGGGCGTCGTGAGTATAGTGGCTTCTCTTTGGCTGGGCTGTTGGCAGGGATAGTCAAGTAGTAGCTCCTGGGAGAGTCCACCTCTTTTCCTGTGAGTCCGCACAAGAAAACAGCATTTGTAGGGTTGAGAGCTTCTCCTGCCGACCTGATCTCTCCGTTTTAATTATATTCACACTGGCCAAGTGAGGAAATGAGTTATAAATAAGACCGAGAAGCCAGCTGTGCAAGTCTTTCCACAATTAACCCAGTCTCCGAAGTTAGACTGTTGTCTGTTTCAAGTAAGCATATTTTATTGTCTTGACAGTTTGAGCAACTATGTGGGAAATACTCAGCATCATAGTATTAATAGTTTCCATGTGACTTCAAACACTATGAAAGGACTGACATCACAATCACATCACAATAGTATATTGTGACTAACTTTTTACATCTATCCATTTTTCTGTGCCATATTCTATGGTATGGATACTTGGAAAACATGTCTTTGTTTTTGCCCATGGTTTTCTGCATTTATAAAAACATTGCTACAATATCCACATTTTCTAGGATATACAAGCACACAGTTGTCTAGCATATATATATTAAACATGGATTTCCATAATCAGAGATTTAAATTTACTTTATAATGCCAAACTGGCTTTCCAAAATGTTACCAATCTATATACCAGTAGCAGCTTACAATATTTATGAATTTTTACAGTCTTATTAGTTCTAGGTAGTGTCAGGCTTGTGAGGTCAACCTTACTGAGTTTTGCTTTTAATGGTTACCATTACATTTGCCTTCTTAGAAAGTGCTTGCCGGAATTCTTGTTTACATACAGAAGATTTCAGTTTATTAAATGTTAAAATTTTAAATTTATTTTAACAATTATGGAGGATTCAAGAATTTGTGTAATTTTCACTCAACTGTTTAGCTTGCCATTTCAGTTATTATGACAACAGGAGCCCTTTATTATAGTGGGATTCTTTACTATGATGCTTTGGTTTAAAAAATCTATTCTATTCATTCATACGAGATGTAATTTTTGTCTTCCCAGCTAAGCATGTCCAGATGAAATTACTTTTTTGTGTGCATTTGAAGTGGAGGTCTAAATTTGTTTTGCTACACAGCAGTTTTATAAGCTGCTGTTTTAATGCTCTGTACTGCCACTGAAGCATCAAGACCCACGAGTGCCCTATTTTATGAGCTCTGGTCTTTTCAACCTAATTTCTGTGCGTATAGTTTTCTTACCAGAACAGCCTTATAATGTTATCACCTCTTTAGGAACAATTACTCTTGCATGCTAAAGTGATGTTTAATGTTTATTTTTAGTTACGTAGCCTTGTCACTTTAAAAGAAACTTCTCAAATTCTAAAATATTTGGGACACACAGGTATTTTAACAACAACAAAAAAAGATTTATTTAGGGGATCCCTGGGTCGCTCAGCGGTTTAGCGCCTGCCTTCGGCCCAGGGTGTGATCCTGGAGTCCCGGGATCAAGTCCCACATCAGGCTCCCTGCATGGAGCCTGCTTCTCCCTCTGTCCCTGTGTCTCTGCCTCTCTCTCTCTCTCATGACTAAATAATGACTAAATAAATAAATCTTTAAATCTTTTTTTTTTTTAAAAGATGTATTTATTTTAAGAGAGCACGAAGCTGGGGGAGGGGCAGAGGGAGTATGAGAATCCCAGGCATCTTGGGGAGGGGGGCGCTCCATCTCACAACCCTGAGATCACAACTTGAGCTGAAACCAAGAGTTGGATTTAGTGGACTGATCCATCCAGGTGCCCCCTGGCATCCTTAAGTAACATGCATAACATCAAGCTTTTTAGCTTTGGTTGCTCTGAATCTTTTAGTACTGTTGGGTTTGGGTTTTCTGGCTCCAGTTTATGAACTCTAGATGTGTGTTCTCTTCTCCACAGTCTTTTGTTTGTTCGTTTTGTTTGGTACTCTTTCTTAGGAATTTTGTCTAGATTTGTTATTTCTTTCTCATTTAATCTTACCCTTTACGTCTATTTGGCTGCATTTTTCTGTGAGATTCTTCTTCTCTAATGATGTAGTTTTCCTAAATTGTTTAGATTTATTAAAATTATTGTAGTTAAACTGTTTTCCCTTTCTGATCTTTATGTCATGTTACAAATTTTTGCTGTAAACACTGTAAAGTTAAAGTTTATCTGATAAACACTTAATGTTATCGTAAATTTTTATACTCTACACCCACAAGATTTTTGCTTTTTAAGTGATTATCATCTTTTATCATCTTCCTCTGGTACTACTGCTAGAGGAAATGATAGGATATTTTGCTAAAATAGGCAAAATTCAATAATTGTAAGGATAAAATGGAGAATGGAACAAAGGTTAGGTCCTAGCTTGTTTCCTTTCCTATAAGTTGAGAAATGCAATTACTCTGAACTGCAGGAGGCCAAAGCACCTTTCCTGGAGCTCCAACAACGTCTTTATCAGACATTCATTTGGAATGGATAATCAAGTAAATAGTAGTTTGGTTTAGTTCTCTACCACAGGAGAGAATATATTCGCAATATTTTTCTGAACATTTATTGAAAAAATTGAAAAAGAAGTATAAGGAGTCATGTACCTGACCAGCTATTAGGGCCAACTACAAAGTAGAGAAAGAGAAGAATGTATTTTTGGCACAGGAAGAATCAGAATAATAAGGAATAAAATGGAAGGGTCAGAGGCCCACCCAGACGTAAACTTGGACATAATTTATCTCTTTTTCTGGTTACTCATTAACCTGAGGGATGTTACTCAAACACAACACAACCTTAACAGGCTCTGTACTCCTAGAAAGACTTTCCTGAGGATGCGTGCATGCTTTTGGCATAACTCCATAACACCTTATACTTTCCTTTAAAAGTGCTTTCTTTATCCCTTTCAGCTTCCTTTACCTAAAATTATTAAATGTTTCACTTTTTTGTCTGTATTCCTGATGGGAATTAAACTAACATGGCCCTGCTCTTCCTGCAGGTTCTGCTTTCAGCAGAAGCACTTATGGACCCTGCACTGGTGAGTGTCAGGTGTCCAGGAACTTTTCCTGTACTCTTCCTGCCCTTGGTGTTTAGAGACTAAATAACCCCTTAAGCCCAGGTCAGAGGTTGTATGGAGAGAGATTCTCACTTTGGGCCAGCAACAGGGCAAGCTGTGAAAGATTGTCTTAGGGATCAGTATGTACCAAGCCTTGGGCTTGGAGGCAAGACTGAGATGCGAGTGTTAAGGGGAGTGTTCTAGGTCTCATAGGTCTTTGTTAGGTCTGCTGAGAACAGAAGGCAAGGAGATCAGAGTCAGGGTTCTGCTCTGATAGTGATGGTAGCAGCCACCCAATTTGGGAGCAGAGGAGAAATCCAAATCTGGCTAAGGTCTTCAGAAGCCACCCCTGATGATAGAATACACCAGAGACTGGGAGAGAGGGAGACAAGGGGGTCATTACTGCGGCTAGTACTGTGGTCTAGGTTGGTATTCATTGTAGCTGGGCCAAAGTGGTAGATGAGGTAGGAGAAATATTTGGCTTCTGGATTTGTTTTTAATGTAGGGCTGACCTCAAAGATGACTCCATGGCTTTTGTAGAGATACATTTGGGTGAGACTATCAAGAAATTAGGTTTGGACTATGTTGAGTCTCATATGTTTCAGAGACTCCCAAGGATGGGTGGCAAATTGATAGCTGGTCATTCAGCTCCCAAGACATCCACACTGTGGCATCTGGTGTGTATCCTGAGATAGGACTCTGGATCTGATCGAGGAGGAGGCATGTTCAGATCATAGTGGCATTGCCATTGGAGGACAACGGAGGAGAGCTGCAGAGGATAGATGGCACAAAGATGGACAAGCCAGAATAGTCAGAATTAGCAGGAATGTAGCATGAGGTATGGGGAGAGGAAACTCCGACAGGTAGCCAGATTTTCATGGGAGTAATCATGAGACCACAGCAATAATGGAGGTGAGTTGGTAAAGTCACACTGGTCCTTACTCACTCTTCTGTGCACTCACCCAACCAGGCTTTTGTGGTGGTTCTGTCAGGAGGTCATCAGATTAGCTTACATAAAGTGTGTTATTGGGACATAGGTTGTACCTGGTGAACTGGCAAAAAGACATAATGTGCAATATAGAAGTGGAGTGTGACCAAGGGTATTTAGATCTGCATGTGGTCTAAGCCAAGAACAAGGTCAGGTGGAGAAGCCCCTTCTGTGCAGGGCTGGAGGCCATTGGAAGTTGGAATCTATTGCACTTGAAGCATTTCCTAGATTCCACACACAGACAAAAGTCAGTATCATGGGCCAAGTAGTGATGGGGATCAGATGTATGCTGTATGATGGAGGTGTGATCCAATGAGTAGAAATTTAAGAGAATGCTAGGCCCAACATGGTTGTCTGGGAGGCATGATTCTTGGGACTCTTAGATGTCTTGAGGAAAGGATGGGGATCCTGCATCTCAGGCCCAGAGCTCAGAAGGCATCTGTCTGAGCACTTGCCTCTTTGTTGATACTGCTTAAGTTGGAGAGCAAAGGAAGATGATGAGCAGGGAAGTGAGTGAATTTGGGCTGGGGTTTAGGGTAGTTTACAGGGTCCTGCAGAAGAGGCTGCTTATGGACACAACTGTCCTCATCATCACAGGGCTCTTTGACCTTTGAGGATGTGGCTGTGTACTTTTCCCAGGAGGAATGGAGGCTTCTTGATGAGGCTCAGAGACACCTGTACCGTGATGTGATGCTAGAGGTCTTTGCACTTTTTGCATCATTGGGTAAGGCCCCCTCACACCAGCCCCAGTTCCCTGGGCTGATCTGTCTTTCCTCCTCTTTCTGGGTGCCGAGGCTGGGGCATATATACTACAGCTCTTTTCACAAATAGCTCCAATACTCCCTGTTCTGAAGCTCTTTCAGTAAAGGTTTCCATGCTATTTTTGTTTCCTGAGGTTGTTTTGGGGTTGGTTGCCTTGGTGCTGCCCTCTTAGCTGGCCTGTCTTTCCCTTAAAGCCTTGCATCTTCTAAATCCCATGTTGTCCAGTTGGAGCTAGAACACTGCATACATGACAAAGTCGATATGACCCCCAATGGGGGAAGATGTGATGTATAGCTGGGAATCCTGTCAGGAACATGACATGGCCTGGGCTCTACACTGTTTGATGCCAAGGTCAGAGGCTCCTCCTCTTTCTTGATACTTTGCCCACTTGTTACTTTTCCATTCAGAAGAGACCTGAGAGTATATATACCTCCCCTGTCTTCTGTCCTTCTTTGGGGCCTCCACCAATTATCGCTCCTTCTGCTATGCTCTCCAATATTGGCCTACACTAAATGTGTCCATGCCCTTAAAATAATACTTGAACACTGGTAGCCAAAGCCCTGGCAAGAACACATTTCGTAAGAAGTGAGTTGTGGACTCAGCCTCTCCTTCCCATGCCACACTCCATCCATGTGACTTTTGCCTGCTGAGTCCTCCCTGTTCTGTGACCCAGCCTTCTCCTTCAAACTACCCCATTCCGCCAAGCTCCTTTTGTTCCAATCCCCTGGCATTATTCTTGGGATTTCAGACACACATTTGTGGTCTTCTTCTACCAAAACTCCTGACTCTTCTCTGCTTTCAGGTTGTGGGCAGAGAACAGAGGATGAGGAGGCACTTTCTGGGCAGAATATTTCTGTAGGAGAGTCACAGATAAATTCTACCCAGGAGACATGTGACCTGGATTCAGAAGGTGACTTACACCCAGCTGAGAGCCTGGAAGCAAACCCTGGCCAGAAACTGTGCGGGACACAGGGGAAGCTTCACCAGTGCCAGAAGCAGGACGGTGGAGAGAAATCTTTCAGAAGAAACGTGAAGAGCTGCATAGCCCACATGTCGAGGAAGCCCTTCCCTGATCACTCAGGCCTTCTCCAGCACCAGCTCATTCATAGCCAGGGGACACTACCTAAGAACACCAGCTGTGCAGAGCCCTTTCACAACGGACAAAAACACTATAAGTGCAGCGAATGTGGGAAAGCCTTCTGCCGAAAATACAGACTTGCTCAGCATCAGAGAGTCCACACTGGAGAGAGGCCTTATGAGTGCAGTGAGTGTGGGAAAACCTTCAGCTACAAACATATACTTGTTCAGCACCGGAGAGTCCACACTGGAGAAAGGCCTTATGAGTGCAATGAATGTGGTAAAGCCTTCAGTAACAAACCCACACTTGTTCGGCACCAGCGAATTCACACTGGAGAAAGGCCTTATGAATGCAGTGATTGTGGGAAGTTCTTTAGCCAAAGTTCCAGCCTTAGTGAACATCAGAGAATTCACACAGGGGCACGGCCTTATAAATGTAGTGAGTGTGGAAAATTCTTCACCTCCAACTCAAACCTAATTAAACACCGGAGAGTGCACACAGGAACAAGGCCTTATGAGTGCAGTGAATGTGGGAAATTCTTTAATCAAAGTCCTAGCCTCATCAAACACCAGAGAATTCACACAGGTGAAAAGCCTTATGAATGTAGTGAATGTGGGAAACTCTTTAGCCAGAGCTCCACCCTCATCAAGCACCAGAGAGTTCACACTGGAGTGAGGCCTTACAAGTGCAATGAATGTGGGAAACTCTTTAGCCAAAGCTTTGGCCTCACTCAACACCAGAGAGTTCACACTGGAGAAAAACCCTATGAGTGCAGTGAATGTGGAGAATTCTTTAGCCAGAGCACACAACTTACCCAGCACCGGAAAGTTCATGCCACACAAAACCCTCATGAGTGCAGTCACTGTGGCAAAGTCTTCAGCCAAAGATCTGCTCTGATTGACCACCAGAAACTTCACAGCCCAGCCAGACCTTACAAGTGCACTGAATGTGGGAAAGCCTTTAGCCGTAGGTCTAACCTCATTCGACACCAGAAAGTTCACCCCGGAGAAAGGACTTAGAATGATATGGAGATAGCAGAGAACCAGCTGGGTGTTTAAAACTAACACTACTGCATATCTGAACATGTAGGGAACTATGTTATATTTTCTAACCTTTCCAGGGCTCTTGCCACATTTGTCACTGCAAGTTTTTTTGTGGGTGTCTCAACTTTGTATGCCTCGGTGGGATTATAGTATCATGGCACAGAATAGACAGTTTTGGCCTAATTTACATTGTGGCCCAAGGTCTCCTAGAATGGATTACAGGGCAGTCCTTTTTGTGTGACCAATTCTGTAATCCAGATGTCAGCATTTTCTGTGGGTCTGGAAGTCTCCCTGAGAGGAAAGTTGTTAAGAATCATGTATTTTTTGGATTAGCTTCTCTTTTTCACATTGGAGGTCACATAATGCCCCCAGGCCTCGAAAAGGAGCCATGTTTGGTAGGCCAGTATCTCTGATTCCAGGCAGGAACCATATTCAAGTACAAAAACACTGGGTGAAATAAAGAGTGTGGAAAACCAGCGAACTGGAGGGGCTGTGATACCTACACAAACATTTCCAGTCATCACAGCTGGCTTACAGTAAGGTCGTTGCAGAAATTCTGGAGCCCTTTATAGCTAACTGTTCCTGTGACCAGGGCTCCTTCGCTCTACAGTTAAAGGTGGGGGGAGAGGGAGTTAACAAACAGAATTAGAAGTTCAGACCTATGAAAGCAGCAGGCATGTGACTTTTATGAGCAGTGGAGACTTGGCTCACAGTTGACCTCTACTCCAGTGGCATTGCTTGCCAAGCTAGTGCAGCAGAGCTCCCCCTCATGATAGGGGTGGAGCTATAGAACCTAGGGTTGCCAAATTCCTACTTTCCAAAAAGGTTCAGATTTTTTGTGAAAAAATGTATTTTGTAAGGATACTTAAAATTGGTACGCATTTTAAAAAGTGCAGCAGCTAGTACTGGTCAATTTTAACATACATGTGCTGACATGAAACCATCAGACTTAACCATAAAGTGTGTTAATCTTCTGACCTCTCTGTCTGGACTCCCAGGCAATTACTATTAATATGGCTACTAGTCTTAAGTTGGCTCTTAAAAGGGAACCGAATTAACAGACCGTAACTAATAGTGACAATCAGCATTGAATAGTGGGATCTTTTTTTTTTTTTTTAAACTGCTGAAATGATACACAGTTATTTTGGTTACCCACTCACCTAACATGGTTTTTCTGGTTTGTGTCCTGGGGCTATCACAGGTACCCTATTGTGAACACACAAACTCTCTGAAAAATGTGTGTTTAATGCACCTAGCAGTGCAGTGCCCAAGTCTTTAAGGTGCTAATGCTTGCTCCAGTTCTTCTATTGTTCTCGCCAATTGAAATATGGCCATATTTGTTCAAGTCTTTTTGGTGTTAGTGGTTTTAAAAGGTGTGCTTAAAAGGTGTGTAGTGGTATCTTACCATGAATGAATTGTGCATTTCCCCTAACAATTCAGTTTGCTTCCTGTACCTCTTCCTCACATAAATATTTGCCAATTCCAGTTGTTTTGAGTGCTGCTAAAGAAAAAAAAAAAGGAATCCAATAACTATTCCAGTTGTTTGTGCTGTTAACAGTATGATGGGCCACATACACTTTAAACTTTCGTTCCTGGTGCTAAAAATGAGGAGTAATCCAACCATTGTTTTTATCTTAACTAATTTCCAGCATTTGCAGCTGTGAGTATGAAAGTTGCCAACCAAAATGTGCCTTGAGAAGAAATGACAGTAAATGGTCTATTTTCAGCCAGCTACTGCTACACAAACATAGGGAATAGTAAAATGCACTCAATGATGCAAAGGGACGACTTTTAAAAATATTACCATTTAAGTTCTCCTGACCTCTCCACCTTCCAAAGAAAGGTTTAAGCACTTAACTTGGCCTTCGTCCTGGGAGCTAACCCCTGAGCCTTTGGGAACATTTTACCCGCAGATAAATACCTTTGCTACCCATACCCAATAGTGTGTGCTCATTAATATGATTTATGGATAGTGGGGAGCTTAGGCCTGTCAGCTTGACCTCTGGAGCAGCTGAGGAGACTAAAGCCAAGCCCAGAGGGACTCCTTGCCCATAAGACAACTCCCACACACAGAAAAAAACCAGAGAGATTTTTTTTTGTGTGTGCTGGCCAAACTTCATGGGTATTATCACTACGGTTTCCTGATTGCGTGAGGGAGACCAGGGAGATCTCTTCCAGCTTCTGCCCTTCTTTCCCTATGCTTTCCCTAGTCCTTATCCAAACAGTTTAACTAACTATCCAGTTTTATAGTGAATCACTGAACCTGAGGAGTGATCTTGGGTATTCTAGAACAAAATTTATGTGTGTCTTAAAATAGAAGTTTTCCACTAAAATTTAAATAGAAACTGCCCCTGAAATGCAGGTAAGTTTTGACACATACACTTCTGAAATGAACATTTTCTGTTTTAAAAATCCTTGAGACCTGTAGCCTAATTTTCCATTCATAGGTGATTTTCATGTTCTACGTGCAAAATGGAAAGGAATGATTCTGAAACTCCTCCCTCTTTCATCCTTTTTACCTACCATTATTTCTTCTATCTCACATGCACCCAATTTACATAGTAACATCCTTGAATTCTTTAAAAATGAAGTACATTTTTTTTCAAAATGCATTTCTCATGTAATTTGACACCAAAAACAAGTATAAACTTTTAACTTCTTTATGGCTACTGAAACTGAATTACCACAGTTTTGTGGTATAAAACATACACCTGTTCCTCTTAACTGGTTCTAGAGCTCAGGAATGTGGTCATGTAGAGGATAAGATTAAAGTCCAGGCATCCATAGGGGCACAGGTTTTAGGGTCAAATCCTCATCCTTTACACCTTTCCTCCAGAGCTGCCACCTTCCTTCTGGCTCCTTGGCTCAAGATCACTTCCCCTCATGTTCATCAAAGTCAGCAGTTGAGCACCTTCATTTCCAGTCACCACCTTTAAACTCCTTTGTAGAGTAGTCCTCCCCCTCCTTCCTGGGATTTATATCACACTGGGAAAACAGCTAAATATCAACGGTAATCTCAAGAGTCACATTTGCTAAGTCTTCCCCCCCACACACCTGTAGACAGAAGGGAGAATTTATTTGTAGACATGTTACAATCAGCCATAAATGAAAGCAGAATTTGTCCCAAAAGTCTCAGGTCCACACAGCAAAGGACCAAAAGGGATGGTTTTGGCTTTGAGAGCAAAAAGGCAGGTTTTGCTGCAACCAGATCCCAATGGCTGCTCTAATCAAAGCTCTAGAGCATAAGGTCTGCACTCCCAGCAGTTGTTACCAATGGCCCTGGCCTGTGGCTTTCCTTGGTTTATGGTCCTGGGGCAGTAGGGGTGTCACCTGCTAGCAATTTAACTTGGCTCTCCCCCTCAATCTTTTATGCTTCAGCCTGTGCATTTCTTTCTCTGCTTGGCTCTCCTAGCGTGGAGGTTTCAAGGAAGATGGCAGTAAAGGCTGAGAGCCACCTTTGCAGTTTTGCTCCTTAAAGTTATTGACTCTCAAATGTGGTCAAGGGACAAGGATACACATCTTCAGAGCCGATGAAACAGCCTGCAACACCATTGGTCTTAGCAGGTTTTTAAAGTCTTAATTCATTCCAAAATCAGGATAGAGAAAAAATGTTCCATCACAACATGTAAGATGTGTCTCAAATCTTAACCTTTCAAAAGGGCTTGGCTATTCTAATTTGAAGTTAACTACAGTCATTGAACCTATTACAATGCCTATTCCACATTCTAAATTTTGCTTATTTCAACTCCCTTGAAGAAATGTTCGTAGTGCTGAAACCATTGAGGGTACCCCCGCAAATCAAAAACTCAACACTAGTAGTAAAAAGAAAACCACTTTATTATAAACAGTACTGCAACACAACATACACTAGAGATCATAAATGCAGAAAAAGCAAGCTCATTTAACAGTCAACCACCTAACAAAGCCTATCAACCTACAGGTCTATTCTCAAGCAGTAACTTTCAGTCAACCATCTCGAGGAGGGCCGCCAGGGTCCCAAGGCTTGGAGAGTGGGGAGAGAGCCTCTGGGAGGATCCGGGCAGATGGCTGGAGACCAACAACTACAGGGGCGAAGGGAGCCCTCCCGCGAGCAGACGCACCACAAAACACCTGCAAGTGGGGACGACCTAGGCACAGGGACAGAAAACAAAGGTGGGACCTTTGATGGGTTTTTTTGGGGGGGGGATGCCAGAGGCGTTGGGCACAAAATGGCTGCCGGCTGCAGCACAAGGTGGGAGGGCAGTGGGGGCAGGGACTTATAAGTGACCCCCGCCTCCCCGTGAAACCTCCAGCATACCCTTCTCAGACCCGTGTCCCCCCACCGCCCTGGGGAGACCTTCAGGTGCTGCCCAGGGCTCGGCTCCGAGATGCCCCCACTACCAACCCTGAGGTTGCCCCTACCAGAGCGCCAGCCACATGCTACCTCCTGATGCTGACCCTGTTTCGGGTCCAGCTTTGTAGCCATGCACGCCCCGAAGTGCAGAGAGCTGGTTCTTCCAGCAGGTGCCTGGGTGGGTCACGGGGTCACCGTCGCCTTGTCCCAGGAGATTATCCAGGGCAGAGCGAGGATGGTACTGCCATTCTCAGCAAACCCTCTAGACCACAGTTGGGTCCCACCGTCTACAAGCACCGGCTGTGAGGTGCAGGGCCGGCCTGGAAAGTGTCTTAGGAAGCTGGGGGTGAGGAGGGCAGCGAGAAACTCGGCCTGGGGGACGCACAGGGGTGAGGGGTGGGGACGGCATCGGCTCCCTCTGCCCCCGCAAGGCCACCTCGGAGCTGGTCCTCCATCGAAGCGCGCCCAGGGCGGCATCCCTGCGGCTACTGGCCCCACCCTCACCTGGAGGCTGAAGGAGCTAAAGTGGCCTCTCTCACAGTACAGGGCCCTCCAAATGTCCTGCACGACGTCTCCCCAGGTCTGCGGCAGGGAGCAGGGTATGTAAGCCCCTGCTGTG